CGGGCCCCCCGACGGCGAGGTCGGAGAGCTTCCCGCCGCCGGCTTGTCGCCATCATTCCCGCGTGACACGCTATTATTACGGTCTGGAAACGGCGTGTCAGTCACCCGCGCCGGCGAGTCAATTAGTCACGTCCGCAGGGACTCCGGAGAGCGTTTCCTGGCAGGTAGACACGGCGTGGAAGCGGATTAGCATGTGTTACTGCGAGATTCAATTCCCGGTGAGGGAACGATGCGACAACGTCGCACCGGAGACCTTTTCACGTATGAGGAGATGGAGTTCTCACGAGGAAACAAACAAAGCCTTCATGTCGTGTTACGGTTCTCAAGAGCGGTCTTGGTCTCGAGACGACTTTTTGAGGAACTTGGTCTCCTATCAAATGCCTTTGATTCTCGGTCTTGGACAGGGTGGACTCTGGATTTCTGATCAAGACCAGTCCAGACCAGGGCAGTACAGCTTGGATCAGTGAGAAACACAGAATGCCTTCCCGACGTCGCCTGGACTGCCGTGCCCCCTGCACCCAGAGCGTGGATGAAGACTGATGGAGACACAGGCACCCCTCCCCCCCTCCCCCGGACCCCCAAATGTGAAAAAAAATATCAGCAAAATCATCAGGAATGCTTCATTTCCAAAACTATAAGGAGTTCATTTGCAAGCGACATGTAATCAGAAACACTCTGCAAGGTACAAATTCTGTGGTGCACAGCTTACAGAAGCCGCTGACACAATGTCAAAGTTTGGTCTTTTTTGGGCGGGTGCCGGTGACTTCTCTTTGATATATGCGGACTTGCTATTGTCTCAGTCTTACCTCCAAATAATACCCGCAAAAAGTCTCGGTCTCGGTTAGTGCGGTCTTGACTACACCGCTACCTGAATGCGAACAATCAGTGAGAAACACAGAATGCCTTCCTGATGTCGCCTGGACTGCCGTGCCCCCTCCACCCAGAGCGTGGATGAAGACTGATGGAGACACAAAGTCTCGGTCTCGGTTGGTGCGGTCTTGACTACACCGCTACCTGAATGCGAACGTTGAGACATGCATTGACCAAGCTTTGTGCTTCAGGAAACACGTAAAGAGAGACGATTCATGTCTTAGTATTCCTTACCTTTGCAGCACTGTTCCACATCACCACGTTGGCCCAATTGTTTGTGCTCTTCAATTTGAATGCCAATTTGTCATGCAGCCCAACGCACAGCGAGGACCGCTGCTGAGAGACGAGCGCTCGTGAGAAGTGGCACACGGAGAGTCGGGTGCCGGGAAGCTAAAGTCTGCGATCAAAAGCCAGCGGCTTAAGATTTCTCAGGGAAGTTCCTCAAGGAGACGCGCTGTTACGTAAATCAAAGAGACAGACAGAGTGCTGCGCTTTGCGTGAAGATGAAGTACCAAAAGTATCCCTCCATCTATTTTCCGATCCGCTTTCTCCTCACGAGGGCAGACAATCGCAGGGCACGCATCGTTGAACATCCATCCGCGCTCACAGAGTGATCCGTTAACCTTCCACGCATCTTTCTGGAATGTGGGAGAAAACGGGAGTACCCGGAGAAAACCCAGGCAGGCACGGGGAGAACGTGCAAACCCCAACCAGGGAGGCCGGAGCCGGAATCGAACCCTGCACCTCTGCACCGTGTGCTCGGCCACTGGACCGCCCTTTTACCAAGAAGGAGAATGCTGTGAAATGCACGGAGAGGCGTCGTTTTATTTCAGGTCATCTGTATGAATAGCGAATGCGGATCTTGAAATGCAAACCTCCCATAATTCCAACCCCTGCTTACCTGCCTCAGCTCAGTGTAACTCGCCTTGCTCTTATTTACTGCGGCTGAGGAACCCCCCCGCCCTCCTCCTCCTCCTCCCCCCTTCTTTTTCTGGTGGTTTGTTTGGCGCACCTGCTGTCAGCTGCCTCAGGCTCCTTGCATCAGTTGATAAACTCCTCCCGAGACCATCAGCAGCCACAGCATGGAGCTGCCTTACTTACTGCATTTAAATTGCCCATTGTTCATAATAAATCTGCTCTCTTCCGTGGTGAACTCTGCTTGCATTGTGTCATCCCCGGTAAAAAGGACCGCTAGTGAGCTTAGCGTTCGAGTGCTTTGGGAGCATTTGAGGAGCAAAAAGGGGAAAAACACAATCTGGGCTTGTTAAGAGACATAAAACAGCATACGACTATCATGCAGGCATAATTGAATAGGTCTCCAATTATTGTCTACTTCACTATTAGGTTTGCCGCGCTCGTTAGCTATCCTGAGTGTACCTGCATAGTTAAGCTTGAGAGCAAGTGAACCCGCAGAACTACTTTGCCATGCTTTGAAGTCGTGAGCTTTGCAAATGCACTCAAATAACAATTATGTCCAGACTTTGCATTGAGAGAGCTATTTAGCTTAGCTGTGAAGTTTTTCATTGGGAACAGTTGTGGTGGTAGAACATTATAGTCTGCTTGGGCGGGTAGGTAGCCTAGGGTGCTAGTTGATTAGCCTTTGTCAATTTCATGGTTTGGAGGGAACTGTCCAGCAAGGGGGACCGCCGTCACCAACGTGGTGTCCATGTAGCTTTTTATGAAAGTAGCTTAGCAGTGACGCGGCCCTCGGATTTCCTAGGAATGGTGTCAAGGTGGTCATTTGAAAATGTAAACACTTGCAGAGATTTATGTGAGAAGTGTTT